GATTATGTTTACTATTCAAATGTGCCTTTTAAAAGCTTGGCGGTTGAAAAAGCCGTGCAGAATTGGGTGCAGTTTGAGGGTAATGTGTTTAAATTTCCGGGGGGTGGGACTATGTTTCCTCAGGGGGCCGATGCTTATATTGATGAGCTGGCAAGTGTTATTCCCATAGCCGATGGATCCATTCGAACTGCCCTTGATACCGGTTGTGGAGTATGTTTCTTTCTTTCTTTCTCTGTGTTCGTATTTTGTAACTAATTTTAGTTTTTTTTTTTAAGTTTACTCAATGAGGGCAATTTTTATTTATTTATTTTATTTATTTTTTGGCAACTAGGTTGCTAGTTGGGGTGCGTATATGCTCAAGAGGAAAGTGTTGACAATGTCGTTTGCGCCGAGGGATAATCACGAGGCGCAGGTGCAATTTGCATTGGAAAGAGGTGTGCCTGCGATTATTGCAGTTCTTGGATCGATACAGCTTCCTTATCCGTCTAGAGCTTTTGATATGGCTCAATGCTCGAGGTGCTTGATTCCATGGACCGCCAACGGTATGTAATAATTGTTGCAGCATAATAATCTTTTTATTTAGAAATTTGGAATATGAAAATCGGGTAATAAATTTGGGACATGGGAGTATTAAAACGTGGAATAATTCAATTACGATTCCTCATCATTGTTCATAATTGTTCTTCTAAGATGTCTCAATTATCATTTCTGAACGAGGAAAATGGAATAATTAGTATCGAATTGTGGGAAATCTCGATTACGTAATATATTAGTGGTGATCAGAACTTGGATGAGTTCAAGAATGCTTTCTGATTTTTGCCGCCTTTACTAAATAAGTTAAAAAATTCCGTTTCTTTTCGACTTTACTAAGCCTTTTTCATGGACGGGAAATCGTCAAATACATGTGAAACAAATGAATCGTTTTGACTTGCAAACCGTATGATTCCTCGTCAATGATCATAATTGTTCTTCTAAGATGATCGATCAATTATCATTTTGACGAAGAAAAAAATTGGAAAATTATAATATTTTCGGGTTTCTGCTTTGAGAAGTTTTTCAAATAGCAAACATAAATAATTAAAACAAAAGATTCCTTTTTTTTTCTTTTCGTTCATCAAAGTACCTCTAATATTCACATGTTTTTATTCATGTACTGTAGATGGGACGTACTTAATGGAAGTTGACCGAGTTCTTAGACCCGGTGGATATTGGGTTTTGTCGGGCCCTCCAATCAATTGGAAGACATACTACAAAACATGGAAAAGATCAAAAGAAGATCTAAAAGCTGAGCAATCAAGAATCGAAGAGTTGGCTGAATCCCTTTGCTGGGAGAAGAAGTACGAGAAAGGAGATGTTGCCATCTGGCAGAAAAAAGTCAACGACAAATCTTGCGCTAGAAAATCCGACAACTTTTGTCAGTCTTCGGATGATGGTGATGTATGGTAAGTAAATTATGACCAAGTAAAAACCTTTATACATTATTCATCATTCCTCGATTTATCTCATCCGAACATGTCATGATAAGTTATGTTACGAAGTCGAAAGTAACAATCCCATGTTTATAATTACGTAACAACCTTTTCTTTATTATTTTTTAAATCGTGACTTTTATTTTTAGGTACAAGAAAATGGAGACATGCATAACTCCTTTCCCGGAGGTGAAGAGTTCCGATGAAGTAGCTGGAGGAGAGTTGAGCAAATTCCCAGCCCGTCTTTTCGATGTGCCGCCGCGTGTACGCAGTGGCGATGTGCCAGGTGTCACGACTGAATCCTACGAAGAGGACAATAAACTTTGGAAAAAGCGTGTTACCAATTACAAAAGAATTAACAGGTTACTGGGTAGCCCAAGATATAGAAACATCATGGATATGAATGCTGGCCTTGGCGGCTT